ACCACAATGGGGCATTTCCAGCCAATCCCACAGCTGGAGAGTGGCCATAAAGTGATGAATTTCCTCAAAACCATTTGGGAAAGTGCAAAAAACCTTGGGGTTTTCTTCGAGGAATCTTCCACCATGGCACAGACCTTCCAAGGAGAGACCCTGCAGGGAATGGGCAGCAGGGACATGAGGGTGAGGGCAGCTGGGGGCTTATGGCAAGGCTGGGGACCAAGACAGAGTGGGCTGGCACAGCACAGAGTTTGGCATGGTTTGAATCTGGCAAGATCCATGATTTGGCACAGCTCATGACCTGGTCTGGCCCATTTTGGCACAGCTGATGATTTGGCCTGGCTCACAATCTGGCACAGGTCATGGTTTGGCCCAGCTCATGGTTTGGCCCAGTTCACAATCTGGCACAGGTCATGGTTTGGCAAGACCCATGGCTTGGCCTGGCTCACAATCCAGCATGGCCATGGGGCTGGCATGCCCCATAACTTGGCCCAGTCCAGGGCGTGATGGCACTCTGTGCCATGCCATGCAGTGCCATCTCGTGGCTGAAGCTGCCACAGTGCCCATGGTGCCATCGTGCCCGTGGGGATGGTGCTTCCACAGCCAGAGCTTCCCCACCGGCTGCATCTCCTCCTTGCAGCATCTCCATGTGGGAGAAAGAGAAGTAAATCATTCTCAAACCACTTCTTCCCCTGGCTTATTTGCAGTCCTTCTGCACCCTGGGGAGGGATGAAGGTCTGGGCTGATGGGAAAGTCTCACTCCATGGCTCAGATATGACCTTCAACAGCTCTGGGCCGCCATCCAGCACCAGCAGACAATGGGGCTGAGACCAACAGGGTCTAAAATTAACCTCTCTGGGGCTGCTTGTGCCATTTGTGCTGTGATGGGTGATGGTATCACCCTGGTCATCACCTGCACGGGGAGCCACTTCCAAGACCGATGGCTAAAAGGGGTTGTGTCAGAGTAGAGGGTACCCTGAGGTCCCCCAACTGCTCCCCCAAGGCAAAGGCAATCCACTTACAGATGTGGCCATCTCCACTGGAGGTTTCTTCCGTCTCTCCTTAGTCTTCCCTTCCCTAAAGCTCAACAACAGAAAGTTTCAACTTTTGCCCTATTTCCCTGCCTTTTGGTGAGCGTCACGCCCTACAGCTGGAGGAGGAGGGCTGCTCCATTTGGCATGGGCTGGTTCAGACCCAAGAGAGGTTGTCAACAAGATGTCCATTGCCTCTCCTTTCTCTTGGGGTCACCCAATCAGCCCTTGCTCAGCAAAGAAGTCATTTGGGTGGCATCTTGGATCAAGGCACTTTTGGAGCCCTGGAGTAACTCCACTTTCCTGGTCCCTTTGGAGCAGGACTGGAAGGACACAGGGACACGGCTGGGACATGGTCTGCAGTGAGTCTGTGGGGACACAGGAGCTCTGATGACACCTTAAATAAAGCCCAGCCCTTGGAAAGGATGGTGGGACTTCATCCATGGGTGGTGTGCAGGCTGGGGTGCTGGTGAGCTTCCTTCCAGAGCTGAAAGCACCCGTGCCTGGCTGGCAGGAGGCTATTGATTTATCTGTTTCTTAATTTGGCTTGTCCTGTCCTTTTGGTTTGTGCAAGTGAAACAAAGCAGCTTTGAGAGCCTCTTAACCGGAGCAGCCCGAGTGGAAGCAGCCCCCTAGGACCGATGCTCGCCCCGCGCCAGCACGGCAGCAGGTCCATTAGCAACCCTGGAGCGAGCAGCAGCCTGGCATGAAATATTCACAGTCACCTCACTGAGCCCTCAGGAACTGAAGTTCTTTACTGTGTTCTGAGCTAAATGGCTTCTGTTTTCAATGGAGAGTGCCCAGCTCCTCACCAGACGGGCTGTCCAGGCTGGGGGAGCATTGCTGGAGGCAAAGGTGTTGGAACTCAGTGGTGTCAACCAAATGAGAATTCAGACTGGTCCCCAGAGGAGGTGTTTTTAAAACAATCACATCCTTTATTGTGAAAAACACCTTGGAGAAATGCAAAGGGAGAACTTCCCGTTAACTTTGCAGACAGGGATATTTGCTGTTTTCTCTTTGCTGTGATGTTCTTTCTGAAGGATCAGGACCCCTCCCAGCTCCTCACAGCCCGCCATCACAGCCCAGAGCAGCACAATTTAAACACAGAACCCCAGCCTGGTTTGTGTTGGAAGGGACCTTAAAGCTCCTCCAGCTCCAACCCCTGCCACGGGCAGGGACACCTTCCACTAGAGCAGCTTGCTCCAAGCCCCTGTGTCCAACCTGGCCTTGAACACTGCCAGGGATGGGGCAGCCACAGCTTCTCTGGGCACCCTGTGCCAGCGCCTCAGCACCCTCACAGGGAAGAGCTTCTGCCTAAGAGCTCATCTCAGTCTCCCCTCTGGCAGGTTAAAGCCATTCCCCTTGGCCTGGCCCTACAGGCCCTTGTCTGAGGTCCCTCTCTGGCATCAAACTGGTAGGAGTGGGATGGGTTGAGGTTCCCCTACCCCACATCCTTGTGCTAAGTGACTTGCTCAGGGCCACGCACACAAATGGGGTAAGGTTTCCAGTTTGGGTGACTATAAAGTCCATTTAGATAAGAGAAATAATACAGAAGAGACTTTCTTTTCTCTTATAATGCTGATGCAGAGACGTTGGCTGGTTAAATCCATGTAAAACAGACAAGTGGGTGCAGCGCATCAGCTTGTCTAGTTCTCTGAAAGCCTGGGTTACGTCTGGAGTTGTTAGCGTGGCTGAGGGAGGCGAGTGCAGACACACAGACTGTATGAATAGCTCCACAATTAGGATAGTAAAGCAGGGGAACGTCACTCAATTCAGGGAAATTCCCCTGATTTGCTGGAGACGGGATTCAGCCTCTTTGTGCGGAGCTGCTGCTGTCTGGGTGTAAAAGAATCCCTGGTTTTGCAGAACCTTCCCAAGGCGGCAGCAGGAATAACAACTTAGAAACCCCGTTGCACTTGAGCTGTTCTCTGCCCAGCCTCAGTTTCTGCACATTGAGGAAGGATCAGCACGGGGCAAATCGTTTTCTGGATTCAACCTCCCCTTCTATGGCAGATCTGCCCTTAGGAAAGGCTAAAACCCTGCAGATGACACTGAACACCCTCATCCGGAGCCTCCTGTCCCGCTGGCTGCACACAGGAAACCCATGTGTGCAAGGGCTCTTTGCAGCAGGGAGGGAAGGGTTCCTGATTTTGCCATAGAGATAGGAATTAATGTCCAATGTTGGGATGTGGCTGGGGCTTGGGGAAATAGAGTTTTGTTTCAAGATGAAGAGGGGTGCTGGGAGGAGCACCCCCCTCACCCCCCAGGGCTGATCCCACTCTGTTTCTGTGCCACCTGCTGCTCCTGGCACCTTGTGAAGCTAATATAACATGGGTTAGCCCTACCAGGTCCCCACATCCCCCTGGATGGCTGGGAATTAGACTTAGAACTGATTTTCTTGGGTATTTAGTGTGGTCCCTGCCCTCCTATCTCATCTTGGGTTGTCGTCCCTGGGGCAATTGTCATTGGCACCAGGAGCTCCTCGACCACTGCGGATGAGAATAGAGCTATTTTCCATTACTCTGGAATGGAGGCAATCACTGGAACATCGATCGTGTTTGCTGGGTGCCAGGCACCTTGCAGGACTTGTTGCTGCCCTGATGCTCTTCGTAGGGCCATGGGGAAATGGCAGAGGTATCCAAGCAGATGTATCTCCCTTGTGCCCTAACAGGGTTTGATCCATAGATTGGATATGCTAAGTCTGTAGGAGCTTGGCCATCTTCTTCCTTGGGGGTGGGAGATTCCTCCTTAGGAAGGGAGGTTGGTAAATGCAAAGTGATAGAAAAATACTGCTCTTTACATCTGCACCCCAGCCAAGAGCAGAGCAGTGTGGTCCCTGTGAACCCAAACCTACCCCATCTCCTTCCCCAAAGCTGCATGGAGCTGGTGGTTCTCCATCCCCCAGATCTCCCTGAGCAGATCCAGGCTATTACCAAGAATATGGTATGGATCAGTAAAGCAGCATCACGTATCCAGGGATATGATTATTTCCCAGTGGTTGAAATCTAGGTCTCTTGCTTGGGAGGAGGGAGGCGAGGGGAGGAGGGGGGGGAAGACGCTCATATTAATCTTATGAATATTCATGGAGAAGCTCTGCTGCCTTTGGGGGTTGACTCCTGGAGTCTGGGGGCCGTAGGTGAGAGGTGCCAGCAGCGGCGCAGAGCGGAGCGGCTGCTTGTGCATTCGCCGCATGCCTGACTGCAGAGCCAATTGTAAGTTGGTGCCTTTTTCTCTTCTCCCCCCTCTCCTTCCACCCTTTCCCCTTCCTGCCCTGCTTTAATACAGCCCGGCCATAAACTGTGCAAATGGAGGGGGTCGTGGTTGAGTCACAAACATGACCTTGTCCTCGAGGTGCCACCCGAAATCCAACCCCCCCCCAACTGCAGGCACGGCTCCTGCCTGCAGTGCTCTGTGCAGGCAGGGCGGAAACCGAGGGTCTTAGGGCAAATCTTCACCTCCTCCATGCCCTCCCCTCCCAAAACCCAAATTTGCATGAATTAACCCCAAAGATGCCTGGGGGAGAGGGGGGTGTGGTTGCCAGAAAGCATGTAATGGGGAGAAAGCAGGGGGAACTGAGTGCTGGGATATGTGATGTCAACACAGATAATGCCATAACTGTCTCCGATAAGCACCGAGCATCCCCGTTTGGATTTGGACTGGGAAGGAAGGAGCCTGGACCTCATGGCAAATAAAACTCAACATGTTAAAAAGAAAAGTAAATCTCTGTGCTGTTAAACAAAGCTGTGGTGTTTTGGGAAGGGGGAAAGGGGAGAAGAGAGCGTATGGGCAGGAGAAAAAACTGCTTTGAGCAAAAAAATAATTGAAGGTGGGTTGATTTGGGGTGAAATGGGGGTTTGTGGCTGCCAGAGATGCAGCAGCAGAAAGATGGGGTTTGTGGTGCTTTACTGTGATGCTCAGAGGAGCCAGGGAAGGTCAAATCCAGCTGAACTCCTGAGCGAGTGGCTGGGGAGCAAGTGGTGGGGAGAAAATGCAGGAAAAGGAGAAAAACTGGGACAAATGCAGCCTCCTGTGCTGTGGGCCTGGCAGAAAAGGGTTAAGCGAAGCGGTTGGATGCTGCAAGCCTTGTCAGGGTTGTACTATTTTTTCTAGTGCATAAGGAGAAGGGAGAGGAGGGTTGCACGGAAAAGGGAAATTTCCAAGGAAAGAGGGATCTGCGACAGTATCTGCACCTCGGGTGATGAAGAGAGGATCCAACAGGCATAAATGGCCTGGAGACGGCTGAAATCTTTGCCGAGGAGGTTGGGACCATGGGGTTATTTTCCACCTGCCTCCCCTACCCGGTTCTGTAATCCTGGCTCAAAGTAGACAAGTCGAGTTGGAGCTGAAGAAGGGAGGTTAGAGGATTTTTTGGTTTATTTTTATTTTGGGAGGGAAAAAAAGAATCAAGGAGAAAAATGAGAGATTGATTGGACCTCTCTGGGTTGAGCATCTCCACGGTGTAAGGCAACGCAGGGCTGTGGGAATGGGTGCTCCTTAGGAGCAGGGATGGAGATGACCCGGCACCCACCGGCGACCGGAGCCTCAACATCCCCATGAGAAATTCTTGGAGTCGAATCCCCACGGGGTGGGTCAAATTGGGGGTTTGGCTTTGGGGAGGATGGGGATGCAGGTTGTGTGGGTACCACGGTCAGGCCCACGATGCTCAGGGCTCATTGGAGGCATCTGGGGGGGGGCAGGTGGCTTCGGTGGGGACACACAGGGATCGGTGGAGGGTTCAGTGCTGCGGATGAAGCCGGAGCCTCCTGAATCACCCAGGAACGCGACGCAATGGCGTGGGAGCTGCGCCCAGTGGGTACCACCGACTCCTGGGTGCCTGGTGATGGTGGGAACACACCGGGGCTTTGAAGGGATGGGGGCTGCGTCGTTACCCCCCCCCTCCTCTGCCTGGCACCGGTTTCCAGGGGCAGCCCGGCCCCGCTGCACGCCGCGGCGCTGAGGGCGAGCGCAGGGAGACAGGGCTTTGGTTTTTTCCGCCTTGCCGCTAGCGCGCTCTCGCCCTCCTCTCGTGTTGCAGTGCGGGTTGGCCAGGCAGCGGGATGCCTGGAGGAGCCAGGGCTTTGCAGATGCTCCTTTCAAGCCCCCAGCAGCTCGTTACCTTCTCGGTGTTTTTTCCAGGCGATGCCACACCTCCCGAGGACACTGGGGACATCGGGGTTTGCTGAGCTTAGCATCTTCTTACCGTCGTACCGGAGGCATCAGACAGACGCTCATCTGCCCTGAAGTGCAGATCTGCAACAGCTACCGAGAAGACTCTGTCTCTCTGTCTCTCTGTCTCTCTTTTCTCTCCCTCTCCAGTCCAAACCATTACAAGACCTGACTTCCACCATCTGGGAATCTAACCCCTTTTATGTCCCTTCTCCTTTTTTCTACGATGACTCACCATTATTTTTAACTTTGAAGAGAGAGGAAATTATGGGGATCTTGGAAGCCTGTATTTCTCTCTAGGATTTCCCCAGGGTCAGATAATCGGTGTTACTAAAGAGACACTAAGATTTGGCTTCTCCAGGTAATGTGATTTGTTTTCTGTGTGCCATGGTGGTTTGCAGAGGATGACAGGAGCCGGGACACCAGCGGTTGAGGAGGGGGCCTGCAGTGGTCCGCGGGGCAGCCGCGGAGCTTGCCCGGTTGGCTGCAGGCAGGGAGGGCAGCATGTCGCCTCGATTTATGGCAAGAGGATTGGGAAGGTGTCGAACTTAAACCCGGAGCTAGAGGTTTCCTAGAGGGGCAGATTGCCTGAGATTGCACGGTTAAATGTTAACCCTTAGCTGCATGCGTGGGAATGAGCAATGAGCTGAGCCTGGTTTGCCTCTACCTGGCACCCCGCGGGGTCCCCTCACCACTTTAGGGCTGGATGGGGTTATTTTTCTCCCTTCTTTGCTCTTCTCTTCCCCCTCTTTTCTTTATTTTTTAAGTGGAATTTTTATTCTTAGTCCTGATTTGCCAATGCCAGGTTTTCCACACTGGGTTTGAATAGGTGACAGCTCCTCAGGTGTTTCCTCTCTTCCACCTAATGGGTTGAGACAGGAGTTTCTGAACTCTGTCCCAAAGAAAGCAACTTACACCCCCTGCAAGGAAGGGGATAGACGTGCTAGTGAAGAGAGCTGCTGTCCTCCCCCCAACTTTATCTCATCTCTCTCTTTCTCAGCAGGGGCAATTTTCTTTCCTTTTCTTTTTTATTTTCTCTCTTGTTTTGTTCTCTCATCCCTTCGCCTTTTCATGAGACACTTCCAAACCTACGTACCTGTCCTTCCGCAGGATAGTAGCCCTGCCCTGAACCCGATCCCACCACCGGGCACTGGGAAGTGTTTAGCATAAGGATTTCTTTTAAACCCCAATATGACAGTTGCTACTGGAGATCCTGCAGATGAAGCTGCAGCTCTTCCCGGTCACCCGCAGGACACGTATAACCCTGAGACCGACCATGAATGCTGCGAGAGGGTGGTCATTAATATCTCAGGGCTGCGCTTTGAGACACAGCTCAAGACATTAGCCCAGTTTCCAGAGACCTTACTAGGGGATCCTAAAAAGAGAATGAGGTATTTCGACCCGCTCCGGAATGAGTACTTCTTTGACCGGAACAGACCCAGCTTCGATGCCATCTTGTACTATTACCAGTCTGGTGGGAGGTTGCGGAGGCCAGTTAACGTGCCCTTAGATATCTTCTCAGAAGAGATTCGTTTCTATGAACTGGGGGAAGAAGCAATGGAGATGTTTCGGGAGGATGAAGGTTACATCAAAGAAGAGGAAAGGCCGTTGCCTGAGAATGAGTTTCAGAGACAAGTGTGGTTGCTCTTTGAGTACCCCGAGAGCTCAGGCCCTGCCAGGATTATAGCGATTGTCTCCGTCATGGTGATTTTAATCTCCATTGTCAGCTTTTGCCTGGAAACGTTGCCCATTTTTCGGGATGAGAACGAAGACATGCACGGCAGCGGGCTGAGCCACCCCCCCTACTCCAACAGCAGCATGGGGTACCAGCAGTCCACCTCTTTCACAGACCCCTTCTTCATCGTGGAAACACTTTGCATCATCTGGTTCTCCTTTGAGTTCTTGGTGAGGTTTTTCGCCTGCCCCAGCAAGGCTGGGTTTTTTACCAACATCATGAACATTATAGACATCGTAGCCATCATTCCCTATTTCATCACCTTAGGGACAGAGATGGCCGAGAAGCCGGAGGATGGTCAGCAAGGCCAGCAGGCCATGTCCTTGGCCATCCTTCGAGTCATCCGCTTGGTGCGGGTCTTCAGGATCTTCAAACTCTCCCGGCACTCCAAGGGGCTGCAGATCCTGGGGCAGACTCTCAAGGCCAGCATGCGGGAGCTGGGCCTCTTGATATTTTTCCTCTTCATTGGCGTCATCCTCTTCTCCAGCGCCGTCTACTTTGCCGAGGCCGACGAGAGCGAGTCCCAGTTCCCGAGCATCCCCGATGCCTTCTGGTGGGCTGTGGTTTCCATGACGACTGTTGGCTACGGAGACATGGTCCCCACGACCATCGGGGGGAAAATAGTGGGTTCCTTGTGTGCCATCGCTGGCGTATTAACGATTGCCTTACCAGTGCCCGTCATAGTGTCTAACTTCAATTACTTCTACCACCGGGAGACGGAGGGAGAGGAGCAGGCTCAATATTTGCAAGTAACCAGCTGCCCAAAGATCCCCTCTTCCCCTGACCTAAAGAAAAGCAGAAGTGCCTCTACTATTAGTAAGTCTGATTATATGGAGATTCAGGAAGGCGTAAATAATAGCAATGAGGATTTTAGGGAGGAGAACTTGAAGACAGCCAATTGCACCCTAGCTAACACAAACTATGTGAATATCACCAAAATGCTAACCGATGTCTAGTGGCTAAAATCTAGTAACCTATTTAAAGCTGAAGTGGAACAATTGCAGATATTGAGTGCTGCTCTGCATTGTAGTTACTACAGTATTTTCTACGGTGTATATTTGGTTCTGCATGGGAAGCAATAGCTGTGTAAGTGACTTTTAACCTTTGATTTCCACACCCAATAAGCGTTCGTGCAAAAAAACAACCCCAACAACAAACCATTTTGTTTCCCTTCTCCCATCCCAGGTGGGTTTCCAAAGATACGGAGTGGTTGAGCAATGGGATGGGCATGTGGGGGGGAAACTCCAGACCATCCCGGGGTACCATGAACGCCGCTCCCTGTCCCATGCAGCTGGGTAAGAGCCAGCTTCCAGGCATGGGGAACGGCTGGGAAAGGTCAGGCAGAGCTTAATGAAGAGAAGATGCAGTCGTGTGTCCGAATTGCTGGAAGTCTCAGGCTCGTGTTTCATAACTGAGAATGCTGCATGCTGCAATAGTTGGAGCCACTGCAGTATGCCAGTGTGAGGCCCAGGGGAGGGATAATTAGTATGAAGGCACATTATTTATTAAGTCTTACATTTTCTATGCCAGGCATCGGGAGGGACGAGTAAATAAATCAAGCGCTTGGATTGAATTAACCTCTTTAGATGCCACTTCCATCACCAGTATTTCCAGGATCACCAAAGACACCTCCACTGACACATTGAAAATGAGTTGGAAGAAGCATCATTTTTTTGATATCTATATATATAAAAACAGGAGCAACTATGCTGTGGCCTATAACATATTTATACTGCAGTGAAATCTAACCAGTAATACAGTACAGCTGCATGGATATTCGTTGCATGAATCTGAATATTTAATACACACACAAATATCTATTTTCTTAGTAGACTATACAGTATTCATGTTTATAGTGTTTATAGATTCTCCGGTGGCTCGAAGGAGATTCATGGGAGTTAAAAACTCTCCATTAGATTTAAAACCTGGATGGGGAAGGCATGTGCTGACAACAGTTTGATAGATAACAAGGCAAAGCCTGAGTGTCTGAGCAGCCAGACACAAGGGCCAACTAACGCAAGAGAGGGAAGGTGAGCTGAAAGTTAAACACCTGCACTCATTATAGGGCACATAATTAGTCGTTAATCTTGGTGTCAGGAGCAGAAACCCACAGTGGATCAGAGAGGGCACGAGGAGCAGGTGGAAAAGCAGGTATTGGCTTTCCTGACTTGTTTGGTCAGCAGTTTTCAGCCTTTCCCCATATAATCAGTGTGTGTGTGTGTATAGATATTTAGAGAGTGACTATAGGGCCAAATCCTCAGCAAATGTGAGTGCTTGGAGCATTGGGACCTTCCCAGTTCAGGAATGCTGGGATGGTGGGACATGGGCTGGGAGCAGGATGACCTGCCCCATGGCACCCATGGGCAGGGTGTGTTTTGGGCTGGAAAATTCCTTTGCAATCATGTAGAACCTCAGGGCTGGTGTTTTATTCCTTTATGGTGGAGAGGGCACGTGCTAAGGGTGGGCTGGATCTGAGCTGGTACCTCTGAGCCTCTGCTTTGCCTTCTTCCAGGGTTTTTAGGAGGGGTGAGTCAAGGTGCAGAGACCCTGAGGCTGTCTCTGCTTCTTCTTCATCCTGGTCTTCCTTGGAGTAGGTGGAAGGTGTTTGTCCAGGAAGATCTCATCTGCTTTCCCCATCCCTGTCTGCCCTTCTTTGTGTTTCCCCCCACTGCTGACAACCCCCAGGGATGTGTGCCCTGTTCTTCTGCCACGTCAGGAGAGAGGGATGCAGACCACATCCAAGGTCATGGTCAAGCAAAGCCTTCCTCAAGGGGCATGGGATGGGGTTTAGCAGCCTGTTGAGTTGGGGTGAATTTGTGCTGAACTGGGTCACGGTCAGGGCTGTAGTGCTGTGAAGTACGGGCACAGGGAAAGCGTGCAGAGGGAGTTTCAATCAGCCCCATCCTGAGCTCAGAGAGGAAACCCATGCTAATAACAATAAACCAAACGGTGCTAGTGTATTCTACAGCAATGGCTCCAAATGCTGCTCGTGGGCTGGATCCATCCCTTGTGCTGATGTGGCTCCACTTGGGCAGGTGGAATCACTCCTCATTTTTATTTGATTGATCGATTGATTCACACCAGGCTATAATTAATACCAAGTGTCCACTTAGTGCACGAGAGTCCTGGCTTCTGCTTGGTGCAGAGGACCAGCAGCATCAGCGTGTTGGGTCTCAAAGGTGCTCAGCACCACGCAGCATGGGACCCTCAGCCTGTCTTTAATTACATCTCGTTACATTAGGATCCCTCTCCTCCCTCTTCACTGCTGCACCTCAGAAATGGGAGTCTCTGAAGCCTGTTAACACCTTAAAACACAAAAAGAAGCAATGCAACCAAAAGCAATAAATCTCTGCTCCTGAAGCTCATCAAATGGGATGGGGCTGGCATGAGTCGCTGCCTCAGGCACAATTCCCAGGGCAGCTGGCCAGCCTCCATTGATTCAGCTCGTGGTGGGACCATAGGGATATGATTTTGCACAGGGAAGCTGCCTGATGCATCAGGATTCTGCCTTCCCACCCTTGGGTGCTCTTAGCGCCGGGTGATCCCATCCCTGGGGTGTGGGAAAGCACCAAGGCCAAGGGCTGGTTGCTGCAGGGTTTTTGGGAGGCTGCTGACACTCAATGGGACTTTGCATGGGTTGTTTAATGCCTTAGGCTTTGGGTGATTTGGGGGGAGCTGTTGTGGTTCAGTAAGGAGGAAGATGATGGGGTTTTGAGGAGGCGTTGGTTCGGCTATGGTGTCCATGTGGGCTTTCCCAGGCTGGGCAGGAAGGAAAGTGGATGTGTGAGCAGGATGGGGCACATCCAACCCACTCACCAAGCCGGGAGGTCCTGGCTGCTTTGGGAGTCCCCAGAGCCGCATTGCAGGGATGAACGGGCCCAAAGAGCGAGAAGCCACGTTCCTCCTGGAACAGGAGCGTGGGCAGCCCCTTCCTTAGGATGGATCCTGCACCTCTTGCATAGGCCCAGGCAGATGTTCCTGGGGAAAATGAGCCCTGGTGGGAGAACATCGCTGGTCTGTCCTTGGGGAAACAGGAAGACACCCGGACAAGTGCTCGGATGTTTGGGTTGGGGCAAGAAAGGTCCATGGAGGCTGTGGCTGGAGGCAATCCATGAGGCTGCACGAAGCAGAGGGGTCCAGTCTCTCTCCTGCACAGACAAATGGTTTCCCTATAGCTTTTAATGGGATTTGTGCCTGCAGGTCGGAGCTCTAGTGCTATTTCTAGCTTTGCTTCTGACTCACTGATGTGATCTTGAACCAGTTTCTCAGGAGGCTGTGGGTTTTCTTTTTCTCTTTTATTTATTTTTTCCTTAGGAATTTGGTTTGGGAGATTCTGGGACTGTTTCTGCAGAGATGCTGAGCCTCCAAAACTCCCCTTGACTCTGAAAGGGTGCAAAAATGTGCTGCAGAGCAGCTCAGCCTGAGGATGCTAAATTAAGGACTGGGGAAGGCGAGGGTCCCACCATCTGTGTTAGATTGCATCAGGCCACTTAACGTAGGTGTCTGGTTCCTTTCCTCCTCCCATGGAGATATTTGCCTCTCTCCAGGGGTGAGATGGAGGAGAGGATCCCTCTGGTCTGTGGAGGTGCTCCTGGCTTGGCACCCAGAGAAGACCCTGTATTTTAGCTTTATCTTTTGTGGCATGGTTTTGGAGAGATGGAAAATGGTAATAATAGTGCAGGTTGTCTTCTAACACCCAAGCACGTGCCCAAGCCTGCAAGCAACCCATCAGCCCTTTAATATGTCCCAAATCTCTGCTAAGGGCAATGGGCTGAGGCTCATCTACCAGCTGGACACCACCAAGTGATTAGGGGAAAATTGCCTATATGGGCCAATGTGTTTTATGGGGAAACCTGATCTCTGCAGTGATGTTCTGTGTCAAAGTCCTGCAGATCTGAACACTGAGCTATAGGAAGCAGAGGATCTCTAGATTGTTGTTATGAGAGCGTAGCACGTGGGTGTATAAATATGGGCATATTTGTGCATAAATACACAGAAGGAGAGCAAAAGAGAGAGGAGGAGGAGGTATTTCAGGAAGGGACTTGCTTTGTTATCAGATAATTGCTGGGTCAGCCCTTGAAATTGCTACCAAAGTCTTTACCGGAGCTGGCAATACACCTAGGGATGGCCCCAAGCAAAGGAGATCTGGATCTGGCCTCGGAAGTGGAGCATCCTGAGAACTGGTGGCATTGGCTCCGTGCATCCCTCTGCAGACTGGCATCTTCTGCAGCATCTCTGCTCTTGATCCTGAATCCCCAGCTTGGGCCTGTCGTGACTGTTTCTGTGATGTGCAGGGAAAGCCAAGCAGAAGTTGATGGGGTTTAGCTGAATTCAAGCGCTGCTCTGCTCTGGGTTTTCAGGGTTTATTTCTGTAGTGTTTGTATTTTAAGTCCCTTGAACCATGCCGGCTTTTGGTCCCAGGGTGGTGGCAACTCCCTGTTTTGAAACTGGAGTGGGTTTATTTCAAGATCTGCATCCATGGGGGTGTCCCAAGGGTTTCTTCAGTCAGTGGGAGCTGGTCAGCATGCTGCTAGGGTGAAAGGGGCTGAGGGGTGAGGAAAGAAGAGGTCAGACCCAAACTATTTTGTTTTGCACCCAAAATAAGGCTATGGCTCTGTCCCTGCACCCCTGGCAGCATTTGACCTCCTTCACACTGAGCTCATTCCTTGGTCCCTTTGACTGGGGACCAGGTGCTGTCCCCTGCCAGGGGTCCTGAGTGGGAACAATGGTTGCCCCCATGCACCAGCCACTGTTCTGTCCCTGGCTGAAGCACTGCCCTTCTCCAGCCTTGGTCTCTCCATGAGGTTACTGCATTTGGCTGCTCAAATTTCGTGCCCCCTTCTCTGAAATGGGTGCTCTGACCCTGCTGCATCCATCACGGGGGAGAGGAACCAGCCTCCAGCATTGTAAATCACCCCTGAGAGCACAGCACTCATTTTTACCTGGGGACAAGATCCCCCAGCCCAGTTGTGTGTGTTGAGAGATAAATCCCTTATCCATGTTTTTTTCTTCAGAAGAGGGATGGTTTGGCTTGTAGGAGCTGCTGGACATCATGTAACCACACAAGGTCCATACGCATGGACCCTCATGGGGACTCTATCTCCTCCCCAGCCCTGCCTGGTTGTCCTGAGGTTGGGATTGGTA